CATCCATCCACAGATGGAGACTTCTTTTGTAATAGCTGCAAATAAATGTATGGTACATAAAGGAACTGTTGTCTGTCTTCAATGACACGGCAGTTCTGAATAGCACAACGTGACAAACTTGTGTTGCTGGTTTGAACATGAATGTCATGATTTTTTTTCTAAACTGCTGCCTTCAAATTCAGTACTCTGTAAACTGCTACTGGCCATTGTTCCAGTTTAACTGCCAATGTTTGCTGTATTTATGCACCAAATGTTCCATTCGCAGATTCAACACAACCAAATGCTGACAGTCACAACTTAACACCGACACACACTGCCTGTTTAATCATGACACAACATATTGTCCGAGGAAGCAAAACCCACAATATAGAAGCAAGTTGTGTTTGTTTTTCTGTGCATTCAGTGTCAGAGATCCAGAGCACAACCTGAAGCTTAACTCGGGTTTGTTCACTGAAACACACAGAAGCCTCCCACCACAACAACACGAAGCACAACATTAGTCTGGTTTAATAAAATGCATCAGAACAAACAGAGGCCNCAGTTCATCAGGCTCGTCACTGTGTATAAGAGGACTTGTCACCGTTCAGTCGGGGCCTGAGTGTTAACCAGCATGGTCACTTCAAGCCTTCCTCCCGAGTGTTTCTGTGAGGGTTGTGGGATATGTTTGTGTTTTGTGGTTTTTTCCCTGCCTTCCTGTGTTTGTGTCTTGGTGGGTGTGTGCTTTCTCGGCAGGCTGGGCGGAGTCGAAGGGGAGAGGACTTTCTCACGCTGGCAGGTGCAACTCATCAGCTCATCAGCGGAGCACCTGAAATACCAGCTTCTCACAGATCTCCAGCGCCAGATGATCGTGATTCATCCTAGTGGTACTGCCAGGCCGCCTTGTTGCTATCCTCAGCGAAGCATTGTATTTAGGTTTAAGTATTTTCTAGTCTCGAGTAATTCTTGTGTTTTTGTTTACCTCCAGCGTTCCCTCTTCGACTCCAGCCTCCAGCGCCTCACGAGCCACACCAGCCACACCAGCCACAACCCTCTCCGGCTTCACCACAGAGCCCACCGCTTCAGTTCTTCTCCTACGAGCACCAACACTGGGGAAACCTTCACCGGGAAGAAGCACCTCGAGCATTGTCCCCTGAGCACCGTCACTGCGCGCACCGTCCTTGGATTCCTCCACACCTCCCTCCCCAGCATTACCTCGGCGGCACTTCCCCCTCCTCGGATCCCGGCACGGACAGACCTCCACCTGCACCCCTCTCGACTGACACTCCTGCGGCTGGTTCCTGTCCCTGGTGACCCCCACTCCCTCACCCTGATTAATAAAACCCCTTTTCTTTATAACCCGTTTCTCCTGCCTCCCCTTTTCGTTCGGGTCCGCCTGCACAGCCACCGTACACGGGCCGTCACAGTTTCCTCGTGTTTCCTTCTGAACATCCCTCCGTGCTTCAGTGTGACTGCCTTGGACCATCAGCTCATAACCGGTAACACTCCCGCCTTGTTTTCAACTCCATCATTACACTTTCAGTTTTTGAAATAAACCCCATTTCTCTGACTCCATGTCTTCTGAGTGTTGTTTTTGTTTTTTTTTTGTTTCTGCATTTGGGTCAGGCAGCCTTAACTAAACCCTGACAGACAGGTAGGATTCCCCTCTCTGCCCAATCAGATAACACGAAGAAGAATGA